TAGCTGGGACTACAGGCGCCTGCCACACCCAGCTAAGTTTTGTGTTTTTAGTAGAGATGGGGTTTCACCATATTGATAAGGCCGGTCTCAAGCTCCTGACCTCAGGTGATCCGCCTGCCTCGGCCTCCCAAAGTGCTGGGATTACAGGTGTGAGCCACTGTGCCCAGCCTATACAGCACTTTTCTTTTTTTCTTTTTTTTTTTTTTTAGACAGAGTCTCGCTCTGTCACTAGGCTGGAGTGTAATGATTCGATCTCAGCTCACTGCAACCTCTGCCTCCCGGGTTCAAGTAGTTCTCCTGCCTCAGCCTCCTGAGTAGCTGGGACTACAGGCATGTGTCACCATGCCCACCTAATTTTTTTATTTTTAGCAGAGACGAGGTTTCAGTATGTTGGCCAGGCTGGTCTCGAACTCCTGACCTCGTGATCCACCTGCCTTGGCCTCCCAAAGTATAGGCATGAGCCACCGCGCCCAGCCTTATGTTCATGATAAATGAGTATAGCGCATTTATCATGAACATGACATAATAGTTGTTCATGACTATTATCTATTTCCAGTGATTTCTTCATCAATATATACTTAAAATGACTTTTTTTTTAAGAATAGAAGAAACAGAAAAATGACATAAAGATACATTATTTTTAGCAAACAATAACATAAAGATATGTTATATTATTTGTAGCAAGGTTAAATACAGAGAAAGAGATAGATAAAGTACTATAGATAAGCCATTAAAGTTTTTGGAAACCTATGCTAATTTTCCTGTGTCATACTTTCATTTTTCCCCCCAACATCAAATAATAGAATGAGACACTTCTACTCAAAGGACAAGACATAGGTTGCAAATCTGACTTTTTCGTTTTTTATGTTTTTTTTTTTTAGATGGAAGTTTGCTCTGTCACCCAGGCTGGAGTGCAGTGGCATGATCTTGGCTCACTGCAACCTCCACCTCCCAGGTTCAAGCAATTCTCCTGCCTCAGCCTTCCAAGTAGCTGACATTACAGGCATCTGCCACCACGCCCAGCTAATTTTTATAGTTTTTAGTAGAGACGGGGTTTCTCCATCTTGGCCAGGCTGGTCTTGAACTCTTGACCTCAGGTGATCTACCTGCCTCAGCCTTCCAAAGTGGTGGGATTATAGGCATGAGGTGCCGCTCCTGGCTTTGACTTGTTTTTGAAGTAAATGATTAACACCTTCAGTTTAGATGATATGGTAACACATGGACAATTCTGTATAAGGATACCTTCTTATTATTTTTTTTGAGACGGAATTTTGCTCTTGTTGCCCAGGCTGGAGTACAATGGCATGATCTCGGCTCACCGCAACCTCCGCCTCCTGGATTCAAGTGATTCTCCTGCCTAAGCCTCCCTATTAGCTGGGATTACAGGCATGTGCCACCACTACTGGCTAATTTTGTGTTTTTAGTAGAGACGGGGTTTCTTCAAGTTGGTCAGGCTGGTCCCGAACTCCTGACCTCAGGTGATCTGCCCACCTCAGCCTCTCAAAGTGCTGGGATTACAGGCGTGAGCCACTGCACCCGGCCATAATGATACTTTTTGTTTTAAGCATTTATTTGCCGTATCTGTAATACTAATTTTTAAAAATTTTGAGCTGGACAGAGTTGCCTGCAATCCCAACACTTTGGGAGGCCAAGGCAAGAGGATCGCCTGAGTCCAGGAGTCTGTGACCAGCCTGGGCAACATAGCGAGACCCTGTGTCTACAAAATTATAAAAAATTAGCCAGGCTTGATGGCATGTACCTGTGGTCCCAGCTACTCAGGAGACTCAGGTGGAAGGATCACTTGAGCCCAGGAGGTGGAGGTTGCAGTGAGCCAAGGTTGTGCCATTGCACTCAAGCTGGGCGATAGAGTAAGACCCTGTCTCAAAAAAAAAAAAAAAAAAAATTTTTTTTTTCCTTTTTAAATTGAATGCTTAATGCCCTTTATTCTATCTTTGTTAGTGTGCTCAGTTAGAATTTGGCCTCTGCTCTATTCTGTCAGATTTTCCTCTTTATCCTCTCTGTATCTCTGAGTTTAACAGATGTTTAGAGTAGACGATAACCAGTGGTGATTGTTTCTTTCATATGCACATTTATCTTTATTCACAAAGCTGGCTTTCTTTTTATTTGACATGTATATTTTTTGCATTCTCTAAACCAATTTTCTTATACATTTGGGGCTTCAACTTGTTTCTGCCAATAAGCAGACTTATTTATAATTACAATTTGTATGCCTGCCAAATCTTCTCTGTGTACAAACTGGTTATCACTAGGTTCTAAAAAGTTTTTATAGAGTTAATTTGAAAAACTGTTCTTCATAATTGTGTACAGTTTCTAGAGTTTTACATTTATGGACTTACCTTGCATGCAGTATCTTGAAGATAGAAAAAGTGTAGGCTGTCCTCAAAATGTTGGAGTGAGAAAGTAAGATGTCTTGTTGCCAAATATAAAGTTGTTTTTATACTGTCTCTGCTCAAAACCCTTTTTATTTTTCTCCTTTAAGCCTTCCTTTTTGATTGAGTGGACTCTGTTCTTTTCTGAGGTTATAGTTTTTTGGATACTTGTTTAGCAAACTTTTTGTCAGCTACTTGGCAGCTCACTTCCACAACCCTCACACTCCTCTTTTTACCTAATTTTAGTTGTTTGGCAAACATCTGTAATTTTGTACAACTTGGGCAAAAATGATTTATCAATGTAGCTGTATAACTGTTAAATAAAAATAATAGAAATTTTACATCATGAAAAATGGAACCTTATTAAGAATTTTCTTTAAATAACTTTAAGTTCAGGGGTACATGTGCAGGTTTGTTATATAGGTAAACTTGTCATGGGTGTTTGTTATACAGATTATTTTGTCACCCAGAAATTAAGCCTAGTATGCATTAGTTCTTTTTCCTGATCCTCTCCCTCCTCCCACCCTTTGGTGGCCCCAGTGTATGGGGTTCCCCTCTATGTGTCCATGTGTTGTCATCATTTAGCTACCTTTTATAAGTGAGAACATGCGGTATTTGGTTTTCTGTTCCTATTAGTTTGCTAAGGATAATGGCCCCAAAACGATGCAAACTCTGGAAGACAACCTAGGCAATACCATTCTGGACATAGGAACAGGCAAAGGTTTTATGATGACACCAAAAGCAATTGCAACAAAAGCAAAAATTGACAAATGGGATCGAATTAAACTTAAGAGCTTCTGCATGGCAAAATGAACTATTAACAGGGTAAACAGACAACCTACAGAATGGGAGTAAATTTTTGCAAACTATGCATCTGACAAAGGTGTAATATCCAGCCTCTATAAGGAGCTTAAACAAATTTACAAGAAGAAAACAACCCCATTAAAAAGTGGGCAAAGGCCGGGCGCAGTGGCTTACGCCTGTAATCCCAGCACTTTGGGAGGCCAAGGCGGGTGGATCACGAGGTCAAGAGATCGAGACCATCCTGGCCAACATGGTGAAACCCTGTCTCTACTAAAAATACAAAAAAATTAGCTGGGCATGGTGGCGCATGCCTGTAGTCCCAGCTACTCAGGAGGCTGAGGCAGGATAATTGCTTGAACCTGGGAGGTGGAGGTTGCAGTGAGCTGAGGTCGTGCCACTGCACTTCAGCCTGGCGCCTGGTGACGGAGTGAGACTCTGTCTCCAAAAAAAAAAAAAAAAAGTGGGCAAAGGACATGAATAGATGCTTTTCAATAGAAGACATACATGTGGCCACAATCATATGAAAAAAAAACAGCTCGGTATCACTGATCATTAGAGAAATGCAAATCAGCTGGGCGCAGTGGCTCACACCTGTAACCTCAGCCCTTTGGGAGGCCTAGGTGGGCAGATCACAAGGTCAGGAGATCGAGACCAGCATGTCTCACAGTAAAACCCCATCTCTACTAAAAATACAAAAAATTAGCCGGGCATGGTGGCACACACCAACAGTCCCAGCTACTTGGGAGGCTGAGGCAGGAGAATCGCTTGGGTCCAGGAGGCAGAGGTTGTGGTGAGCAGAGATTTTTGCCATTGCACTCCAGCCTGGGCAACAAGAGCAAAACTTTGTCTCAAAAAAAAAAAAGAAAAATTTTTTTTTGATCCCACATAGCCTAGTTTTTAAACTTAATTGAAGTATAATTTATAACTAAAGTTCACTCATTTTAAGTGAATAATTTTTTTTTTTTTTTTGCAAATGTGAACAGACTTGTGCAATGATTACCACAATCTAGTTTTAGAACATATATATAACCCTAAAAAGAGACTGGGCGCAGTGGCTCACACCTATAATCCCAGCACTTTGGGAGGCCGAGGCGAGGGGAGGTGGGGGATCATGAGGTCAGCAGATTGAGACCGATTCTGGCCAACATGGTGAAACCCCATCTCTACAAAAAAATAGAAAAATTAGCCAGGCGTGGTGGGCGCCTGTAGTCTACTCAGGAGGCTGAGGCAGGAGAATCACTTGAACCTGGGAGGTGGAGGTTGCAGTGAGCCGAGATAGTGCCACTGCACTCCAGCCTTAGTGACAGAGCGAGACTCAGTCTCAAAAAAAAAAAAAAAAAAAGAAATCATGTACCCATTCATAGTTACTCTTTGTATAATTAGTTTACCATACCTAATAATGTATGTAACTTTGTATAACTGACTATAAAATATGATAAAAGTAAGTACTGTGCAATTTCCAAAATTATTCAGCCTCTAGGTTTGTTTGTTTTGAAGGCTTGATAATTTTGAACATGGACATTTTCTTTGATGATATTTCCTTATTTGGACACCAAAATTATTTAATAGAAGAAAGAGTGGTGAGAATAATTTGAGTAGGAGGGGATGCTTTTGGGAACGAGTTTTAAAATTTCAAATGAATTCATGAACGGAAGAAAGTCATTGAATATAAAATTACAAATTTATTTAAAGATTTCAGTTCAAATAATAGGGAAATTTATAAAGTCATTCAAATAAGACTAAGATTTTATATAATATTTTGGAAAGATTAAATAATTTGTCATTCTTTAATTTCCTTTATTTTAGCTTCGCAGAATCAAGAACGGCTATGTGCATTTAAAGATCCATATCAGCAAGACCTTGGGATAGGTGAGAGTCGAATCTCTCATGAAAATGGAACAATATTATGCTCAAAAGGTAGCACCTGCTATGGCCTTTGGGAGAAATCAAAAGGGGACATCAATCTTGTAAAACAAGGCAAGTGATACTTTCCTTACCTAAAATGACTTTATGTTTTATACAATTGATGTTTATCTAAAATTGACATGGGAGTACATTAAAATCCTGTTAAGAAAAACAGTGAATTTAAAAGTGTATATATAAGGCCAGGCACAGTGGCTTATGCCTGTAATCCCAGCACCTTGGGAGGCAGAGGTGGGCACTGGCTAACATGGTGAAACCTTGTCTCTATTAAATACAAAAATTAGTGCACCTATGGTCCCAGCTACTCGGGAGGCTGAGGCAGCAGAATGACCGAACCTGGAAGGCAGAGGTTGCAGTGATCTGAGATGGCACTACTGCACTCCAGCTTGGGCAGAAAAGCGAGACTCCATCTCAAAACAGACAAAAAAAAGTGTATATTTATATGTTTATCCACAAGGGCCAAATCTATGAATGGCTATTTATTTTTAGATTATTTTAAAAACAGCTTTCTTCTTAAAATGTTATACATGCCCATTCTATGAATTGTGGAATATATAGAAAACTATAAAGAAAACAAAGACTACAATAATATACTCTTTAAAAAATATTTTTACTGGCCGAGCGTGGTGGCTCACACCTGTAATCCCAGCACTTTGGGAGGCTGAGGTGGACGGATCACGAGGTCAAGAGATAGAGACCATCCTGGCCAACATAGTGAAACCCTGTCTCTACTAAAAATACAAAAATTAGCTGGACGTGGTGGCATGCGCCTGTAAACCCAGCTACCCAGGAGGCTGAGATGAAAGAATTGCTTGAACCCAGAGGTGGAGTTTGCAGTGAGCCGAGATTGCACCACTGCTCTCCAACCTGGCGAGTGAGCAAGACTCCACCTCAAAAAATATATATATTTTTACTGTATTAGTTTGTCTTCTTCAGGTGTATTTTTTATGTGCCTTTATGTTATTATGTGTGTGTACTTTTTAAAAAAATTAGGAATGTATTGGATAAACAATTTCATATCCATTTTTTCCACCTTAATTATAAGCATTTGTTCCATGTCTTTACAGAATCTCTGAAAACCTTTTTAACTTTTGCACAACATATCATTGTACACATGTATCACAGTTTACTTACAGATTATTCTATTGGTAGACATTATGTTATTTTCATGTTTTCACTGTAATGCATAGTGAAACACAGTTTTCAGTGAACAACTTTGAATATAATTCTTTGTATATGATTGTTTCCTTGAAAGACATCCCTTGATGTAGAATTATTAGGTTATAAAATATATGAATATTTTATTTATTTATTTATTTATTTGAGATGGAGTTTCGCTCTTGTTACCCAGGCTGGAGTGCAATGGTGCGATCTCGGCTCACCGCAACCTCTGCCCCCCTGGGTTCAGGCAATTCTCCTGCCTCAGCCTTCTGAGTAGCTGGGATTACAGGCATGTGCCAACATGCCCAGCTAATTTTTTTGTATTTTTAGTAGAGACGGGGTTTCACCACGTTGACCAGGATGGTCTCGATCTCTTGACCTCGTGATCCACCCGCCTCAGCCTCCCAAAGTGCTGGGATTACAGGCATGAGCTACCGCGCCCGGCTGAATATTTTAAAAATTGTAAAAAAAGTTTCCATGTGGCTTTCTAAAAGTACTATTCATTTATATGCCCTCTAACACTGTATGCATGTGTCTGTGTTACTGAGTCCTTTTTCTTATATATATTATTTATGTATTTGTTATTTTATTTTTGAGACAGTGACACTCTGTTGCTCAGGGTGGAGTGCAGTGGCACATTCATGGTTCACTGAAACCTTGACCTCTTGGGCTCAGGCAATCCTCCCAAGTTGGTAGGACCACAGGCAAGCACCACCATGCCCAGCTAACTTTTAAATGTTTGTAGAGATGTAGTATTCCTATGTTGCCCAGGCTGGTCTCAAATTCCTGGACTTAAGTGATCCTCTTGCTTTGGCTTCCCAAAGTGCTGGAATTCTATGTGTGAGCCACTGTGCCCAGCCATATTATTTTTTAAACCTAGAACAATTTACTTGGTATAGACAAAAATGAAACCTTACTCTTGCTTTAATAATTCTTAGATTAATCATGCAGTTAAACATTTTTTTGGTGGCCTTTTTCTTCCCATGAAATGTCTTTTGTACATTTTTCTGTTTCTTAAAAATGTTTCCTGTTGATTTGCAAAACTGTTTCCTAGCTTTTTTTTTTTTTTTTTTTTTTTGAGACAGAGTTTCGCTCTTGTTACCCAGGCTGGAGTGCAATGGCGCGATCTCGGCTCACCCCAACCTCCGCCTCCTGGGTTCAGGCAATTCTCCTGCCTCAGCCTCCTGAGTAGCTGGGATTACAGGCACGCGCCACCATGCCCAGCTAATTTTTTGTATTTTTAGTAGAGACGGGGTTTCACCATGTTGACCAGGATGGTCTCGATCTCTTGACCTCGTGATCCACCCGCCTCGGCCTCCCAAAGTGCTGGGATCACAGGCGTGAGCCACCGCGCCCGGCCTGTTTCCTAGCTTATATGTACTCTCACATTTATTGAAATTACTTCTTAGTTTGCTCTTCTTCTTTTAATTTTCTTTCTCATATTGTCTACTAACTTTTTTATGTTAATATTGATTTCTAGGATGTTGGTCTCACATTGGGGATCCCCAAGAGTGTCACTATGAAGAATGTGTAGTAACTACCACTCCTCCCTCAATTCAAAATGGAACATACCGTTTCTGCTGTTGTAGCACAGATTTATGTAATGTCAACTTTACTGAGAATTTTCCACCTCCTGACACAACACCACTTAGTAAGTAAAGTAACTGACTTTTTTTTGTATTTCCTTTCTCCAAAATTTTGCAAGATATAAAACAAACATAAAAAACATACAAGATTGAGGCTGGGTGTGGTGGCTCATGCCTGTAATCCCAGCATTTTGAGAGGCCAAGGCAGGTGGATCACCTGAGGACAGGAGTTTGAGACCAGATTGGCCAACATGGTGAAACCGCATCTCTACTAAAAGTAGAAAAAAGTTAGCTAGGCATGGTGGCAGGTGCTTGTAATCCCAGCTACTTGGGAAGCTGAGACAGGAGAATTGCTTGAGCCCAGGAGGCAGAGGTTACAGTTAGCTGAGATTGCGCCATTGCACTCCAGCCTGGGCAATGAGAGTGAAACTCAAAAAAAAAAAAAAAAAAAAAAAATTAAGGTTGGTAGGAGTGAGAGGGAGAGTTTCAGTGTTATTAGATTACATCTAGCAAACACCTGAAATCCAAAAGAGATGCACTAGGACTTCCAAGGTATCAATATATTACTACATAACTTTGGTAAAATGTAGTACTGGCCACGCATGGTGGCTCATGCCTGTAATCTCAGCATTTTAGGAGGCCAGAGCAGGAGGATCACTTGAGCCCAGGAATTCAAGACCAGCTTGGGCAAGATAGTGAGACCCCATCTCTACCAACACAATAAATAAGCCAGGCGTAGCGGCTCTCGTGTAGTTCCAGCTATTTGGGAGACCGAGGTTGGAGGATTGCTTGAGCCTGGGAAGTTGAGGCTGCAGCGATTGTTCCACTGCCCTCTATCCTAGGTGACAGAGCGAGACTCTGTCTCAAAATAGTATAAAATATAATAGTTTCCAACCTATATGGAGGGAAATTTGGTTAAGACAACTACATGTGTGCTTACTCTTTTCACATTTCCAAGACTTTATCTGGAAATACATTTTCAATATTATGAATATACATAGACATCGAGTTGTTTATTGCAGTATTTTATTTTTATTTTTTTGAGATGGAGTTTTGCTTTTGTTGCCCAGGCTGAAGTGCAGCGGCGTGATCTCGGTTCACTGCAACCTCTGACTCCCTAGCTCAAGCAATTCTCCTGCCTCAGCCTCCCAAGTAGCTAGGATTACAAGCATGCGCCACCATGCCCAGCTAATTTTTGTATTTTTAGTAGAGACGGGGTTTCACCGTGTTGGCCAAGGTGGTCTTGATCTCTTGACCTCAAGATCCACCCACCTCAGCCTCCCAAAGTGTTGGGATTACAGGCATGAGCCAGCATGCCTGGCCTGCAGTATTATTTTTAACCGCACAATATTAGGAAGTAAATGTCCAAGAATAGGGTATTAGTTGAAATATACTGTGATACATACATGAATGGAGTACCAACTATACAGCTATAATAAAAAAATAAGATCTCTATGAACTAACCTAGAGTGATTTTCACAGGTAATATTAGATACAAAAAGTATGTATAATAGGCTCTCTTTTATAAAACTGGAAGGTGAATAAAAAAGCATATCTACTCTTGACTTATTTTTACAAAAAGAAACAAAAATAAATTAGAAAATAATGAACTTGGTTACTTATAAGGGATCCAAGGAATGGGACAGAAAGGATATGGAAAAGAGTAATGGTGGGGTGTAGTGGCTCACACCTGTAATCCCAGCATTTTGGGAGGCCAGGGCGGGCGGATCACAAGGTCAAAAGATCAATACCATCCTGGCCAACATGGTGAAACCCTGTCTCTACTAAAAATACAAAAATTAGCTGGGTGTGGTGGTGCGCACTTGTAGTCCCAGCTACTTGGGAGGCTGAGGCAGGAGAATTACTTGAAACCAGGAGGTGGAGATTGCAGTGAGCCGAGATCATGCCACTACACTCTAGCCTGGTAAGAGAGAGAGACCCCATCAAAAAAAAAAAAGGAGTGACGGTTCTCTGAATGTAGCTTTTTGGATGTAATTTTTACTATTGGTATTGTGTAAATATTCTACATAAGCAAAAAAATTAAGTACCTAAGAATGGAAAGGAGAAAAATACCTCAAGCTGTAACCAAATTGAAATAAATGAACCTAATTATTTTTCATATTATTACAATAACTACAATGGTAACAAAATTATTGAAAGATAAGGAAAAAAATAAAGAAAAAAAGAACTAATCCAAGTGATTAGTTTATAAACACAGTATTTGACTATATATACTCTTTTGTGTGAGATGCAATATAAAGGATGAGGGAGAATTACAAACAAATACTGAGCTAGTAGTGTGGGCAAAGCAATTCTGCAACCATTGTAGATGCATTATAGGATTAAGAAAATGAGTTCAAGCCGAGCGCGGCCTGAACTGTAATCTCAGCACTTTGGGAGGCTGAGGTGGGCAGATCAAAAGGTCAAGAGATCATGACTATCATCCTGGCCAACATGGTGAAACCCTGTCTCTACAAAAAATACAAAAATTAGCTGCGCCTGTAATCCCAGCTACTCAGGAGGCTGAGGCAGGAGAATCTCTTAAACCCGAGAAGTGGAGGTTGCAGTGAGCCGAGATCGTGCCACTGCACTCCAGTCTGGTGACAGAGCAAGACTTCATCTCAAAATAAAAAAAAAAAAAGAAAATGAGTTGATGTACTTGGGAGTCAGGGTTCTTACAGAAGAAACAGGAATACACAGTTATCAACTGGGGAGACAGAAGAAAACCCCATGCAAATAGATTGCAATTCGAGGTATCAGTAGGGACTTACACTTAAAAAAATATGCATATGTGTGTGTTACATGCATGTATATGTGGCTGTGTACATGTGTGTATACAGATAAATGTATAAATGTATTTATACACACATGGCAAATGCATGTATTTCATACTTCTGTCCATTGAAAAGGATGAGAAACAGTAGTACCCCAGTAGTGGTGACCATGCATAATGCCCACATCTTAGTCTCTAATACCATTCTCCACTAAAAAGGAACCAAGACTTCTTAGAAAAATGATTTATTACAAGACTGAGGCAGGATAGGTATAAAATAAGCCTGGGACATCTTATAATATTTTATAATTTTTGTAGGAAAGTAAGGAAAGAGCCTGTAATCCCAGCACTTTGGGAGACCAAGGTAAGAGGATTGCTTGAGCCCAGGAGTTTGAGACTAGCCTGGGCAACACAGACCCAATATCAAAAAAAAATTAAAAAGTAGCCAGATGTGGTACATGCCTGTAGTTCCACCTACTTGGGAGGTTGAGATGGGAGGATCACTTGAACTTGGGAAGTCAAGGCTGCAATGAGCTGTGATCAGGCCACTGTACTCCAGCCTGGGCAAAAGAGTGAGACCCTGTCTCAAAAACAAAAAGCAAGGAGAGGAAGGAAAGAAGTTCCTAAAAATATGTTGGAGGCTTGTCATAGGACACAGGAGCCAGCTGGAAGGAACTCCCACTGACTAAATCTGGGTCATTTTGAGTGCTAAAACAATTAAGTACATTAATGAATTGTGAACTACTATAAGGAAAATGAATCATGCATAGAATGTCAAGTGCCAACTGGTAAATGTAGGAATGCTGGAGTTGGCAGCTTATTATTCTTCAACCATTGTGTTAAGGATTAGATCAGGCAAGAATCAACAAAGGATCCTAAATCTAGGGGCAGCTTCAATGAGGAGCCAGGATATTTGCATGCCTCCCACATATGTCAAGGGAAAAATTAGTAATTATAAAATGGGAAAAATGGACACCTTGACCAGGTAATAAAAATTAACATCATTAATGAAGGGCACATGGAAATCCATGATACCTGGAGAAGGCCACATAACTAATATATAGCTATATTCCAGTCAAGAATGCGTAACCTGAATTCAGTCATGAGGTAACATCACACAAACCCCAAATTAAGAATGTTCTGTTACAAAGAGGGGGATCATATTCTTCAAAAATGTGAATGTCATGTAAGAATGTGGAAAAGGTCTAGGTCAAAGGAAGCTAAAAAGACTGGACAACTAGGCAGTGCCTATCATATACTGAATGAGAACAATGAGATAAAAGACATTGTTGAGTCAATTGACAAAATGGATGACTAGACAACAATGTTTCAATGTTAAATGTGCTGAAGCTATTAATAATACTGTGGTTTTATAAGAGAATAACCATATTCTTAGGAAATAATCTAGGAAGTGTTTAAGAATAAAGGACCATGATTATACTGTGTAATGGTTCAAAAAATGTGTGTGTGTGTGTGTGTGTGTGTGTGTAAAGAGATAACAAAAGCAAACAATAAAATGGTATCAGTAGGTGAATCTGGGTGAAAGAATATGATGTATTCTTTGCACCATTCTTGCAACTGTTGTGGAAGTTATAAATTATTTCCAAATAAAAATTTAAATAATTCTTAAAGTTTAAAAACTTAAAATATAGTACATCTCAAGAATTTTCTTTTCTTTTTTTTTTTTTTTTTTTAAGACGGAGTTTCGCTCATGTTACCCAGGCTGGAGTGCAATGGCGCGATCTCGGCTCACCACAACCTCCACCTCCTGGATTCAGGCAATTCTCCTGCCTCAGCCTCCTGAGTAGCTGGGACTACAGGCACGCGCCACCACGCCCAGCTAATTTTTGTATTTTTAGTAGAGACGGAGTTTCACTATGTTGACCAGGATGGTCTCGATCTCTTGACCTCGTGATCCACCCGCCTCGGCCTCCCAAAGTGCTGGGATTACAGGCTTGAGCCACCGCGCCCGGCCAAGAATTTTCTTAGTTAACAGATTTTATCAGACCACACTCTGGGATCATCAGTTTTGGATTATTTCCTTTGATGTGTTGATGAAGCACTAAACTGAAAGCAATAGGAAATTTTCTTTATAACCATAGTTTCTACCTACTGAAGGCCATTAGCTTCTATTAGGAGATTTTATTGAATTGGATACATTTATTTTTCACAAAGAAAACAAGGTCTCTAATTTTCACTTGTACCTCTAGCTAAATAAAAGAGGGAAAGTGGCCAGGTGCTCATGCTTATAATTCCAGTCCTTTGGGAGGCCAAGGTGGGTGGATCACCTGA